GTGGGTAGGTGGGTAGGTGCGTAGGTGCGTAGGTGGGTAGGTAGGTCGGTTGGTAGCTTAGTAGATAGGTGAGTTGGTGTGCAGGTAGACGGGTAGGGAGGTAGCGAGGTAGGGAGGTAAGGAGGTAGGGAGGTAGGGAGGTAGGGAGGTAGGGAGGTAGGGAGGTAGGGAGGTAGCTAAGTAGGTAGGGAGGTAGCTAAGTAGGTTGGCAGGTAGGGAGGAAAGGAGGGAGGGAAGCCGACTTGTTAGCTCGTATGTGGGTTGGTTGGTGGGTAGATATGTGGGTGGGTAGTGATGTTCCCATAGGTGGATAGGTGGGTAGCTGGGTAGCTGGGTAGCTGGGTTGGTGAGTTGGTAGAGGGGGTAGGTGAGTTGGTGTGAAGTAGATGCATTTCTACCCACATTCCTTTCCAATGCATTGCCTTGAGATAAGATTACCAACCCAATTCTCTGCTGCTCTTTTTCCCGCAAACAACGACCAAACCACCAAAAAAAAAAAAAAAAAAAACCACCAAAACCCTCTTTCTCATCCTCTCAAAGCTTCTTTCACGACGCATCAAAACGTATATTTCTATGCACTCGAACCCACGACCTGTCGGAGTAGGTGACAAGCTAATCTCCACAGGGCTGGTCAGGGCTGGTGCCGTGTACCCGACGATGTTTAACCCTCAGGTTGTAGGCAAAATCCCTTAGCAGTTTTTCATAACAAACTGTACATACAACGCCTTACGTTGGTCCCGTCTACAACTCAGCTAGCATAGACTTACAGGGTAGGAAGTCTTTACGCTCAAGTTGTAGGCAGAACCCGCTAGCAGTCTTTGACCACGTAATTTTTAATGGATGCGAACCGATTTGGACTTGGTCAGCCATCAAACCAAATTGGTCAGCTCGCTAGCGGGTTCGCTTCCAAATCCGTCCCCACTTCGTCCCCTAATCCTTCTCATTCCCTCCACTACTCTCTCTCTCTCTCTCTCTCTCTCTCTCTCTCTCTCACACACACACACACACACACACACACACACACACAGCCTCTGCAACTTCAGCAGAACGTGAGTCTCACCTGCTGATGAAAGGATCGTTTGGCATTGCGAGCACTGTCAATCGGTCAATCAGTCACTACCCTAAGCTTCGTTCACTGTCGGAAAGGTGACGCTGTCTTCTCCTCGCAGATGCGCCAGTTCTAGAGGGCGAACGACTAGCCAACCATTTCCAAATCCATAGTTCTTCAATGACAACTGGTGCTGGACACTTGTAAGACTGATCACGCCCTCCACATGGACTTCCCTAACACGCCCTACGCCTGCCCTCCCCCTAAAACGCCCTCCTCCTGCCCTTCCCTAACACCCCCTCTCTCCCTGCCCTTCCCCCTCGCACCCCCGCACCCCCGCGGCCCCCCGCCTTCCCGTCCCGCCAGAAAGGTAGAAAAGCCCTGTGGCCTCTCTTCCTGAGACAAAGAAAGAGAAAGGCGCGCCTTCCTCCCTTCCTCCTCTCCCCCGCCTGCCAGCAATACCAGTCCATCGTCATCTCATCTCACGTCCTCAACAACCGATCATCCTCAATCAGCCATCGACCAACCTCCCGACCTAAGACCTCATCAAGAATCAAGAGGCCACGTTAACCGGCCACGAGTCGCTTCGTCGCGACTCATGTCCGTGTCGCTCACTCTTAGCAATACGTATTATATACATATATTGTCACATTGTGAATCAGAGCGCAAAAAAGGGGAAAGAAAAAAGGAAAAGGAAAAAAGGGGGAGGGGGAAGAGGTAAGGAAAGCTCCACCTGTTCATAACCTCTTACGTACAAGGCCAGCCACGTGGATGACAGGTTGAGCGCTGGCTGCCCCCATCCCCGTGTGTCACAAGGACCCACTTGCACGCAGCCAAAAGGCAAAGAGGTAAAGAAGGGGAGGAGGAAACCAAACCTGACAGGGAAAGAAAGATAGGGAAAGAAAGATAATCCAATTATCACAAAGCAAATAACACATCCCACAGATCAACGTATCGTTTTTCTTTCTTTCTTTTTTTCTCTTTTTTCTTTTTTTCTTTTTTTCTCTTTTTCTTTTCTTCTTTTTTTCTTTACCTGCCCCCACCTCGGCAGATAGGACAGCTACGGTGAGGATGATGTGGATGTTCACAAGGATGCCCAAGGAGAGCTGCGCCAGCACAGCATTCTGCAGGACGGCTAGCACGAACCATCCCATCAAAACAGTCCTGACAGAGGACGTGTTGTCCACATGTCAAAAACACGGCAGGACGATCATCACAGTGCGGCATCATACAGTTCTGATAGCGTCCTTGGGCACAATAGGGACAACGTATATCTGGGTGATAGGGATGTGTA